AGGTTGTTATACAGCTGTACCAATAGAATTCTTTACCATAATTGGGAATGTACCATATTGGGGTTTTCCCCTCCTATATAAAGGGGACCCCAATCATTTGTAAACATTATCCCATTCACTGCAATAGAATATTCTACTCTTCTTTTCTCGTTTACAGTGCTCCACATTTATTCTTCAGCTTTATTGCTTTTACTTTGTTGTTTGATACTTTATTTGCTCTTAACTCACCTCGAGGCTCCCGAGATAATCGAGCTCGAGGTCCCCATTGCTCTAACAACACTGGTTTGGCTCATCAATTCTTCTTACTTAAATCTAATATTACTTGTATATTCACTAGCATTGGAATAAATCACATATCTTTAAAACCACAAATCATCTTTAATTGTTGCTCACATTTTTCAAGGTAAACACTAACTCATGGCTTAAAAGCTATTTTTACTTAAAAGTCACCTAAAACCCATCCAAACGGGCTCTAAATTTTCAGACATTAAACGCACTCTGAATAAACCAAATGGGTCTGTTTGTGATATTTTGTTAGGCACTCTTAATTTTCACACCACTATGTAAAGTACATCAGACTATTATAACGAAATCTTGTAAAAGTCTAGCTATACCCTAAACCATTTATCGTCAAATACCTTTTTTTTTCAATTAATATATATATATATATATATAGACTGACATGTGTCACGACCCCAATCTCCCTCCGTAGGATATCGTGATGGCACCTAGTATCTAACACTAGCTAACCCTAACATTTACTGAATTAATGACAGAATTTAACCAACAACTACTAAACATGAAAAAGAAATTTCTATAATAAGCCAATAATCCCAACATGATGTACAACATCCCAAAATCGGTAGTACAAGTCATAAGCTCTACTGAGTTCACTAGAAAATTTTAAAGTACAACTATTCCGGAATAGAAATAAACTGTACAAAATAAACTTCAGAAGGTGACTCTGAGGCTCGCGAACGCAAGGACATATATACCATGAAGTCTCTACAACAATATCTAATCAGCTATCTAATGATCAACAAACTTCGAAGTACCTGGATCTGCACAAAAATATGCAAAAAGCATAGCAAGAGTACATCACAGCGGTACCCAGTAAGTATCAAGACTAACCTCGGTAGAGTAGTGACGAGGAACAGTCAAGACACCTACTAGACATAATAACATGTACAAGTATGAATGTGAAATTAACAGGGAACAATATCAATATAAAGCTAAGCATGGTAGAAACGACCACTAATATGGAAATAGAAAACTAGAAGCAACAATTTGCAATAAGGAACAAACAGATAATAACGTCGTAGAGTAAGATGAATACAATTAAAGTTCGGTAAAACCAAGCAAGGAGAAACAAGTAACAACCAAATAAACAACCGCTTTCACACAAGATTTATACAAGAATTTCCAGAGGTACAGCACCTCAGAATCACAATTTGCGGGTCCCAAGTCATGAACCCTAATCACTTGGCATCTTGTGCCCGCATTAAAATTCACAACCCTGTGGACAACTCACGTGCTACACGGAAAACTCACGTGTCAATACCATTAGTACCTCATATCTGCACGTACAACTCACGTGCTAACAGAGTTACAATATCTCATATCCGCACGGACAACTCATGTGCTAGCAATAACAACACCTCATGACCTCACGGATAACTCACGTGCCAATAGTACAACTCTCATGCAGAAGGCAAGTATACGAGAATACATGTAATGATCAATAAACGTCAGGGTCCATCTTCTTAAACCAATATGAGTGATTAATTACGTGTATTCTTATGCAAGTGTTCTATCACAACTCGAGTCAATAAGTAAGAGTAGAGACAACGAATGGCACATAGGAAACAATGCAACAAAACGTAAAATGCATGACTCACACCAGGTAGGTATACCACTTCACAAATATCATCAATAACAATGCCCACAGGCATCAAAATTCATCACAAATCATCCCCGACATAGCCCCCATTATCTCGCCACGTGTGCAACGATAAAGTAAATGCCCGCCTTGTCTCGCTGCACGTGCATAAAATATTCCCGCCTTGTCTCTCCACACGCACAAATCCATATATATATATATATATATATATATATATATATATAGAGAGAGAGAGAGAGAGAGAGAGAGAGCCTGCCTTGTCATGCCGTATGTGCAAATATCAATAACAACAATAGCACGGACAACTCACGTGCGAACACCTCGACAATCCTCTCAACAGTATCACGTGTGCCAAAAATATAACAATATAATTTAACAACTCGCACCACATGTGCCCATATGGCACAACATTTTCTTAAAACAATTTCAATACCACAACCACACATAGCCCCCGGCTCAACAACACTGAATACAACATCAACAATAGTAACACGAGAGTACGGCAAGTAAATCAACACAAGAATTCCAAAATACAAAGAAACGAAAGAACGAGCTTACAACGAAAGACATGACAAGTAATAATGGTTTCAAATAAGAATGATTCAACAATGAGAGATATAGTGTGTAACAACCATATCAAATAAGAGTAACTCAACAATAGGAGATATAACATGTAACAATATTCCAAAAAAGTATAACTCAACAATAAGAGAGATAACATGTAACTTCAATTAAGGATAATCAACTACGGAAGAGATAACATGGTAATAAAAGAGGTAACACTTTTAAATTAGTCATATAAGAGTATATTTGGCAATAAAGGGTAGAACATGAACCAATCAACCTCAAATAAGACACGTAAGGATTTAACATGATAAGACAACTTCATTTTAATGTACACGAGAACCTAAGAGTCTAAGCCGATCAAATTTTCACATATAAGCCGTGTACACACTCGTTACCTCGCGCAAACGTCTTTCACGTAGTTCGAAAAGTACAAATGAACCAATCCCTACGGGGTAGTTCCCCACGCAATATTAGGCAAGATACTTACCTCAAAAGCCCTAAATCAATACTAAAAAAATAGCTTTTCCTTTACAATTCACCTCCGCTCGGCACAAATCTATCCAAAATCGACTTAATAACATCAAATAATGCAAGAGAAATCAATTCTAATAAATAAGCCATGATCTTTACACAATTTTCGAAAAGTCAATAAAAGTCAACCTGGGGCCCGCCAGGTCAAAATCCGGATCCAATGGTAGATTCCGACTACCCATGACCCCACAAGTTTATATATGTGATTAGTTTCAAAATTCGAGTCCAAATCGACTCTCAAAACTCAAATTCTTATTTTTCAAAAACTTGATAAAGTTTCACAACTTTTAACTTTGATTCACATGATTTTTGATGTTAAAATCCAAGATATATTGATGGAATATGATTAGAAATAGATTAGAATCACTTACCCAAAGTTTGTAGATGAAAATCCCTCTTCTAAATCGCCTCCTGCCGAGTCTAGGGTTACAAAATATGAAAATGAGACTAAAATCCCGTCCCTCAACTTTTTGTCCAGTGGTGTCGTAAATGCGATCTGGGTTCACAAATGCGAACCCCATAATTACGAGAAAATTATCGCAAAAGCGAAATTCTTCACATCCCTACCGTCGTCGCAAATGTGACGCTAGTTCGCAAATGCGAACTTTGAACCTTTGCAAAAGCGATCAAGATGATCGCAAATGCGCTCACTGCTGAACCTAGATCACCTTCGCAAATGCGAACATAGGGTTTGCAAATGCGAACCTAGCAGACTAAGCAAACATAGCAAATACGATCTCCCACCTCGCATTTGCGAGGCCTGCAGCACCTGTTCACACCAGCAACACTAAAACTCTCCCAAACACTCCGAAATGTGTACGAAACTCACCCGAGCTCTCGGATCTCCAAACTAAACATCAACACAAGTCTAAAAATATAACACGGACTTGCTCGTGCGATCAAATCATCAAAATAATATTTACTGGAACCATCAAAATATCGTTCCGGGGTTATTTTCAAAAAAGTCAAACCTCGGTCAACATTTTCAACTTAAGCTTTTAAAGTGAGAATCACTCATCCAAATTCATTCCGAATCATCTGAAAAATCAAATCCGACCATGCACGCAAGTTATAATATACAATATGAAGTTACTCAAGACCTCAAACCACTGAATGGAATCTTAAAGCTCAAAACAACCGATCGGATCGTTACAACATGTTAAAGATTGACATGCAAAAAGCGTATGACTTTGTAGAGCGGGTTTTCTTGGAGCAAGTTCTTACTAGCCTTAACTTCCCAGGGTTGTTTGTGCAGTGGATTATGATTGTGATCGAATATTTCAATAGGCTATTAAAAACTTTGCAAAAGGACCCTGATTTTAAGTTCCATCCTAAGTGTGCAAAGTTGAATATCATACAACTTGGGTTTGTCGTTAACCTTCTATTATTCTTTAGGGTGATGTTATCTCTGTAATGAAGTTGTTTGATTGCTTTCTTACTTTCTCTGCTTCTTCTGGTCTAATTGCAAATGCAGACAAAAGCTCTATCTATTTTGGGGGAGTAGACATGGATACTCAGTTACATATATTGGATAGATTGAAGTTTTCTGAGGGGAGCTTACCTTTTAGATATCTAGGAGTCCCTCTTAGTACCAAAAAGATCTCATTCATTCAATGCCAGCCTTTAATTGATAAGATGATGGGAAGGAACGCCCACTAGACATCCAATTTTCTGTCATATTCTGGAAGATTGCAACTCATGAAATCTGATTTGTATTCTATAAAAACCTTTTGGGCACAGGTGTTTATTCTGCCAAAAAAAAATGATCTAGAATATTGAGACTATCTAAAGAACCTTTCTATGGACTGGTGGGCATACAATAGCAAAAAAATCCTTGGTGGCCTGGGAGCAATTATGCTTATCAAAATCTGCTGGAGGACTAAATATGTTGCATGTATTGACATGGAACATGGCTGCACTTCTGTGGAATTTGTGCAGGAAGAAGGATAAGTTGTGGGTACAATGAGTCCATATTTACTATGGGAAAGGACATCCTACAGTCATGCCAAAGCAGGGCTCTTGGCTGCTTCAGAAGATCTTCAAGGTACGTAAAGAAATTCCTAGAGAAAGCTGGATATGATATATGCCAACTACAGAACATGGGTAGGTTTTAAACTAAAGTTAAGGAGAGACTACCAGAAAGTGCCATGGAAAATAGTAATCTGTAATCCCCGGGAACCTAAATGAATCTTCATTCTATTCCTTCAAGCACATGGAAGATTATACGCAAAGGATAGACTAAAGAGATGGTGCTTGATTGAAGACACGCAATATCCTCTCTGTGGCACATGCACATGATGAAAGCATTGACCATTTTTTTTTTAATGTGAGTTCTCTGCAGGTATCACTCTTCGCTTGGCAAGGCTATCAGAGAGGTTCCATGCAGTGGAGTGAAGAATTAGCATGGGTGGTGACTAATGTTAATGGCAAGTATGCAAAGAATGAATTGTTCAGATTGGTTATGTCCTGCAGCATTTATATTATCTGGCAAGAACGAAATATGAGAGCTTTTCAAGCTAAGTAACCAAGTCCTATACAGTGGTTTGTGAATATTTGGGTAACAAAAACAAATTAAATGATAATTTGCTCGAAATTAAACTTCCTAACTTACAATGTAAGTACCATCTGATTTTGATTATGATATACCATTATCAAATAAGTCTGATATTTTGTTAAGCAATCTTAAGTTACGATCCATGTCTATGGCACGTGTTGTCCACTTTGACTTAACAGATCTCACCAATTTATTTCTTGGGCTACATAATCATTGAGTTCAAAAGCGCGTGTATCATGTGAACCCGTGGCATGACTTATAAAGCTATTCACTTTCTCTCTCATTCCAATGTGCGATTAGTTTAAGCTGACGTGTGCACCCCTACTTCAGAAGCTTGCGCGTCTGAAAACCTGCCAGACTTGCTTGATCAGCCCCTCGTCGCCTCCCACCCCCCTCCGTCTTGGGTGTCACATTCAATCCCTCCCTCCCCTTTCCCTCGTTAGAGACTCAGCGTTCTCGCTGAGATTTTTGCCCCACTACCATACTAAGGGAACGTCAACACTGATACCATTTCTAGCTTGGTTTTGAAGGAAAACTTATTCCAAAAATATTATTAAATTAATAATAATTAGTTTAGAAGAATTGTTAAAAGGAAATAGAAATAAGGAAGGTACACAATATCAAAAACCACAAGAAAGGTTTGAAATTATAAAGTCAAATCTAAAGGTAGGTCGAAATTATCCCCGAAAAAAATTAGCTGAGGCCGCATCGAATGACGTGATCATATTTGGCTTCGCTGAAAAAAGCATTTTAAAGTAAACAAGCATGGGACAAGAATTATCATATGTGTGTTTCCATATGAAAAGATTCTTTATTTATAAAGCTGAAATTTCTCTTTAAATGAAATTTATGTAAAACAGTTTCTTTATAGTTCTAGCTATAGTTTCTTTGGGTGCTAATTGACTTCAATCAAATGTCTTTTTTTAACTAGTCTGAGCTCCTCATTAATCCCCTATGGAGTTTCAAATGTGGAGATAACGAAACATCCTCACGAATTCCTCAATTCCTCAAAAACTGTATTAATAGAAAACAGAAAGTTTCTCAGGTAGTACTATGAAAATAACTTAAATTGGAGCTCTATACTGCTTTCTTTTGCTCATATTAGCAAATGTTCAACTTTGGATTTTCGGTTCAGTCTCCTGGGGCTAAGTTTCCCTAGACAGTGGTTTGTGAATAATTAGGTAAACAAAATACAACTAAACTCATAATTTACTCGACATTAAAAACTTCCTGAACTTATAATTTAAATACCATCTGATGTTGATTATGATAAATAGAGAGGAACATTAAATTTTCAAGATCAAATAAGTATGTTGATATTTTGTTAGATACTCAGGAACAAATAAAATAGGTCTGTGATACTTTGTTAAGAAATCTTATGTCACGACCCAAGTTCATCGCATGTATTATTCCTTTTGGTCCAACATGGCTTACAGATTTATCTCTTGGGTTACATTATTATCGAACCCAAACATCTAAGTCTATTTCTTTTCCTCTAGATAAGAGTATTTTTGTTTCTTCCATTGTTTTGTTCTAGGACTTCAAGGTATGTGGTCTATCTTGTAGACCTTTGGATTTTTGTGTTATTTAGGCAAAGTCGTATCGGAAAACTATCTGGAAATTAATATCATGTGTAAAACTAAGTTTAAGCATAGACATACATGTTATATTGTAAAGCAATAAAAAAACCAAAATTTTGAACATAATAATCTCACATAAAAAATACGTCATAAAAAGAGTATATGAAGCGGAAAACATTATGCGGAAGCGTTAGCTTAAAACAATTTCTACCCCTTGCCCTAGCGTTACGTTACCACAGCCGTCAGTGATGGAATAGTCTAAAAGTGTCGATAACCCTAATGGGTGGAGGTTGTGACATAATTTGGTACGTCCATCAAGTAACCAGTTGAACGGACGAGATCTGCTCTCTTATTAAATATTAATGACGGGCTTACTTTATTGGGCCACATACACATAGAAAAAAAATTCTAACATTCTCCCACTTGGTCCAATAATCACATAATATTATATTTAATAATATATCCATTAGTTGCGCTTAAACAAATCTCTTTTATGTCCATCATACACACCATAATGTGACAAACTACTAAATGCGAGTTATGGCGGTTATACACAACTTTGTCTACATATTCCCTTCCACATACTACAACATTAGTAACTCGTCATACTAGATCCATAAGCTATAAAATATTTAACGTTATGGTCCACAATATATCTTATCCTGTAAAATCTCAAAACAATAATGTGTACACCCTTAGGAGAAATATGAAATTATTAATGTGCATCAGAAACATATAAATGAGCTCAAAGTGACAAAACAACATAAATACATCAATCATAAGTACAATCAAGACCCGTTATACGTCCATATTCTTTAAATGTCTTTGGTTGTAAAATTTCATTAATAGATCTACATTCACGAGATCTCCTTAGTTGACACTTTTGTTTCTGAATATTCTCTTTGACAACAAAGTACTTTATTTCATATGTTTGGTACCTTCAAAGTATTTGTCATTCTTAGAGAAGAACATTACTGCAGAATAACCATCATAAGTATCAGCTACTTGATAATGGCGTCGACAATCCCAAGTCGTGAAATAAAGTTTTGTAATCATAAAGCATGAATAGTGACTTGAAACATAATGTCACATATTCTACTTTCTTTATTGATAACATAATAACAGTTAGTTGAACATTATTCTACATATTGCTCCTTTACATAATAGGAACAATTACTTAAATGCGATTTTCCGTTCAACTGTCAAACTATTCAAAAAATCCGAATCCAGGTATCCGTTCAACTTTCATTATATCGGATCCTCATAAACATAAATATTTATCACTTGCTCCATTTATGTACCACAATGCCTTTTGTAGCTTTCAGTGATAAATTATTTGTGAATACTCATTTGTATGCAATCTCTTTAGATTTTTTTTTGAAATGTACTTTCTGGGACAATCCATCGATTACTGTGAACTATTATAAAATATTTCATTCATGTCACATAAGGATGTGTCTTTTATATCTTTCATTCTAAAATTCTTAGAGAGAAAAATTTCATACAAAATCACCATCCATCAGCAGCAAGTAATATATATCATCAACATATATGAATAAAATATATTTTACTCCCACTAATCCTTTGGTATATTCAATAATATAATAATTATCTTAAATTCAAAGGATAGTACAATGTCGTTAAACGTAAAAATACCATAGTCGTGAGGATAATTTAATTTATACAACTGACTTCTTTAGCTTATATACCATTAAATTTGATATTTTCTTTAATTTCGAAATCCTCTGATTGGTCCATATAAACTTCCTCCTCGAGGTCTCTATTAAGAAAGACAATTGTCACATCCATTTGGTGTAACACTAAGTCATAATGAGCCACCAAAGCCATAATAATTCTTAACGAGCCTTTCTTTGAGATCAGTGAAAGGATCTCGTTATAGTCAATTCCTCCTTTCTTAGTATAATCCTTGAAAATAAGTTTGGCTTTATATCATTCAATATTGCCATTTGAATCGTGTTTGGTGTTAAACACCCATTTACACCCGATGCTTTTAGAATTTAGGCAATTCGACGAGATCTCACACTTTGTTATATTCCATGAATTTTAACTCTTCCTTCGTGGCATCAATTTATTTGTCAGGCTCATTACTTTCTATGACTTAAGAAAATGAGACCACATCTTTATTAAGTCCAATGCCAAAATCTACTCTCTGAGATTTTCTTAATGGTATTTCTTATAGTTCATTTGTTTTAGATATTTGTGAGTTAGTTTCTTCATGAAGTATTTCTTCCAAATATTATTTGGTGTTGTTAAAATATTGTCACGATCCAATTTTACCAGTAGGCCACGATGGCGCTCAACGTCGTCGCTAGGCAAGCCAATAGTAAACTGACCATGTGATTGCTATTTTTAATAAGTTTCCAAGTGAGTAAATCCCATTTATTAAGAAATTAAGGAGTAGAAAATTTAATAAAATAAAATGAAGGCCACTAAGTGGGCAAATGTAGTGACATAGATACTCCGAAACCGTGAAGTCTACTAGTGAGTGTGCCAAGACCTGGTGTCACAAGTGTATGACAACTAGTAGAATATACAAAACTCTAACTACTGTCTGAAATAAAGTAGACAGAATACAAATACAAAATAAGAGACTCTAGGTGCTGCAAAACGGCTCAGGAAGCAGCTCACCACTAGGCCTCGGGGTAATGGGGGCGCGCGCCGGTATGACTGTCAGATGCACCTGCCTCAGATCCTTCACGATTAGTGCAGAAGTGTAGCATAAGGGCATAAACAACATGTACCCAGTAAGTATCTAGTCTAACCTCGAAGAAGTAGTGATGAGGGGTCGACATCGACACTTACTATGGGCTACCAATAAAATACAAGAATTCTAAATAAGCATGAGCGATGTAAATAATAATAATAATTCAATAACAAGCAGTGAGAACAAGTAATCCTTTCACAAATAATAGATTCCTAGTCAATTTCTGTCAATAGTAATTATATCCTCACAAGCCACAAAGTAATATCAAGTATAATTAGGCTCCGAGTATTATTAAGCACGATTTATGCCGAGGTCGTACGATCCGATCCAGAATAATGTGTACACTGCTGAGGGTCAAGCGGCACGAGCCATAGATGCATCTATTCCACTGCCGAGACGTTCGTCCCGCTCCACAAGAAGTGAGGATACTTTATGAACATCCAATTTTTAAATCTATTACAAGGCTAATTCACAAAGAAGCACAATATCTATTAACGGTCAAGTAACCCGCCAAAACTCAAGTAAGTGAAATCGGTCTTTTACAATTTCTTTATCAAGTTCCAATATAACT